ATCAAGTTCACCAATAATAAAGAAGTGCAATGTCAAGTATAGTGATGCATGTCTGACCTAATGATACACACCCGCTGTCTCTCAGTCCAGGACCCATGGGGGACATATCTGTCCATGCATCCATCGCGGCGCGCGATACGACCCTCGATAATAGTAACCATCGCGGCGCGCGATACGTCTCTCGAAATATAGTATCTGTCGCGGCGCGCGACACATCCCTCGAAATATAGTATCCATCGCGGCGCGCGATACGTCCCTCGAAATGGTACATTCTCTTTATTTTCTCATTCTTTCTCAATGCACATAACACTTGTCACAACCATGTCTCAGAACAATGCAAATGACATGTTCACACAAATAATGAAGACATGACCATTTTCATAACATTGCACAATTCACAACAACCCAATCAAAATACAACATCAACAATGATTCAACAAGACTTTCAAACAATTCTCAACACATCTCACAAACAATTGATCACATTGCCTTTTATTATCCCTTTCTCATCATTAGAATTAATCAATGTGAACAAGTCAACCCATCACCAAGCATCATTACCCTAAACACATATTAGAAGGAAATACATGAATTCCATACACTTAACAAGGGTTTAGAAATTCACTTGCCTCAAATAGTCGAACAATCACTCTGGGACTTGAGTCTCCCTCTTTCATTGGGCTCCAAATCAATACAATCTATCCAAACAAATTACCACAATAAGATTTTGAAATTAACAACACCCACATTACTATGTGTTTAGCCTTAAACCAACAATTCACCCAAATTCATAATCAAGTTTCTAAGTTTCAAACCTAGGGTTAAGCTTCAACTTCTCCAATATCATAAGTCTAATGATATTCATATAATTCTGTAACCCAATATTTAATTACCTATCTCAATATATTAAATAGTTAATTCATAATAAAATAAGAACTACCAACTACACAATCTGACTGGCTACGAAAATCTTGCACGGCGGAGACCATATGAGGCAAAAGTATGAAATTCCTAAACTTATCTATTCATACCAGAATCACATTATGACATTAGAACAATCCTATCAACCTTACCGTCAATTCAATTCCCATCACTAACTGACAACCATTTTTGTCCATTTTATTTTTTAAAAAAACAATCTCCAACAATATCATCCTCACGCTAATATCACCTGACGACATATCTATATATGATTTATATATATACAATTTACCAAGAATCTTGAATGAAAATTACCTGATCCACTCAGTTTTCGCACTTTTTCTTGTTTTTTCGCCGCACGCCCAAATCAGTTTTTTTTTGAGATAAGTTATTAACCGCACTAACATTTATTCATCTTTTTAATACATGGCCAAGTGGTTAGGGTATTAATTAAATTATCGACTTGACCCATTATTTACCAATTGTAAATAATTAATTATTGGATTACTATCCGTTACTTAAATAATCGTAGTTATCGAATATTTTAAAATTCTCAAACTAACTTTACCGACTGATTATAAATGACTCGGGGAAACTATCTAGAGGGGTAAAATGGTAATTTTATAAAAATTTCTAAAAATGACCTTCCGGGTCATTACAATAGGAAGCCTCAGTAATTAATTATTTGGTCTCTATCATGCCCATATTTAACTAGAAATAAGAATTTATTCTAAGGGGAAAAGAGAGCAGTATGTGTCTTTTTATATTCTAAGGAAAGGGAGAAGTATGTGTCTTTCTCTATTCTAAGGAAAGGGAGAAGCATGTGTCTTACTCTGTTCTAAGGAAAGGGAGAAGCATGTGTCTTTCTCTATTATAAGGAAATGGAGAAATGCATGTCATTTTCTATTCTAAGGAAAGACATGATGTTTCCTCTCCTCCTTGGACTATGAAGAAATCTCTATAAATAGAGATTCTTCTAATTGAAAGGGAATATGTTTATACGATATTTGTCCACCCAAATATTGAGAGAGTTCGAAAATGAACTTGGAATCACTGTAGAAGACCACAGAACTGGCGTCAAGCTTGTGGATTTGCCTGAAGGTTCTAGCTTGTCGACTAGATTGTGGATTCGCTTGAAGGTATTTATCTGCTCACACTTCAAGAGGTAAATCTTAAATTAAATTTCAGAAAGTTTACATGCTCTAGCATGATTGTATGTGTTCTAGCATAAAAGTTTTTGTTGTCTATTATTCATGTAAGCAGTGCATATAATTTTCCAACAAAATCTTGATAATTATCATAACTTGTGTAGGACTTCTAGCCTCTAGGCTCTCGCAACGCGTTTTGCTCCAAAATTGATTAAAAACTTTATATTTGATATCAAACCTTCTAATTATATCCGTCCAAATATTTTTTAATTATTAGATTCAACTTAAAGACTCTAATATTAATAAATTGATTTTTGAGATAAGTTCCATTTTTTAAAAATATAATATAACAAATTAATCATTAATCATCAATTATAAAAAAAACAACAAATCTAATAAACTCATATAAGAAGAGAAAGCCAAGAAATTCCTGTAAAAGCTTTAGCAATCAGCTAACTTAAATGGTCAAATGGGCTGACTAGCTTGGACCCAACCCAAACCATTTTAATTCTCAACTGTGGGTGATGGGCCTGTCTTCTCGTCAAATTGACACCTATAGAAGGTGCATGAGAAGTATCCTAAAAGTAATTTAAACTTACAATTTCTAATAATTTAACAAGTTGCTGAAATATGATATTTTTTCATTTTTAAAAAAAAATCTTTGATTCATTTTTTCAATTTTGAGTTTACACTATCCTTTTATTTTTGCGGTATAGCTCACATACATGTTTTAACTATATATTAAAAAGTTTTTACTGATTAACATGTGTGACGCCACGAGATGCTACATGACGCATAACTGCATGTGATGCATAAGATGCACAAAATGCACACGTGTGACACACAAGATTCACGTATAACATATGCAAAAGCTAATTTAATTATATATATTTGAAATCTTTTTTACAATTTTATTTTAGATCACTAATTTTATTCGATCTCTCCAATTAGAGTGAGTGATTTGATTAGAACTTGGAGTAAGTGGAGACAATTAACTTACCCATGCTAGCAGTCGTACGTCCCAATACCACCTCAAAAACTTCTATTTCCGATATATGTTTTTGTCCATTTCTCCTCGAATGAGAACGATAAATGTTTGTTTACCTTTTTTTGATTTGGACATATTCATTGTAGCTTCCTTGTTTAATTATTTGTATATATATATATATATATATATAGTATTTTGCAATGTTATTATTGTTATAGTTGCCAGAGTCATCTTGTGTTACTACTGCATCAGGAGGTTGTCTAATTAGTTGCACAATTTGTTCTCAGTTTAGTACTGCTTAAAAAACAAAGAAAGAAATTAACACATTATATTGCTCATTAAAAGACTCCACGGCATTATCTTAGAATATATGATATAATAACACGAGCTACGAGTACAAAAATGGTCAAATAGTTCTATACAAAGGTAGATATATTATTATAAAGAAGTGAAAAATGAGATTTGGACTTAGCTTCTTCATGTTGTAATATTCACTAATTAATGACCTCGACCATGACGGCTTGGACCAGAATATGCTTCATTTCTAAAGATTGGAACATCATCTGATTTGACGTAGCGTGTCGTCGAAACTGGTCTTATAGCCTCCGCTGCTATGCTACAAAAAATGAGGATAATGGTGATGTTCAATAATGTAAAGATGGAGATAATGCTGTTGAACCGGCTCTTTGCTTCTAACATTTGAAAAATATTACAAAGTTTAAACTGAATCCAAATCGTTCTTTTAAGTTTATGTATTATTGGTGGTTCAAAATAATGCATATTGGCATTTTGTAAAATGTATATATAATAGTGGCAATATGGAGTTGGAAAAAAGTGGAAACTTGTTCCGTCCGTTAAGACAGAGAATGGGCAGGGCGGGGGACAAACTAAACCGGTTTTACGGAATTTCTTGTCCCTTCACTTTGAATTTCGTTTCAGATGCGCAATACACTACTAAGCATTTTAGTATTGTCGTCAATGCAACTACATTAAAAATAAGCAATTACATTCTTTGTAAATGTTCATAAAGTATATAACGATATTATATCTAATGACAATTAACTAATGCATGTACATATTTTAGTACTCTTTATTTTATTACTGCTAAAATTTATTTTTGTTATAGTGTTAATCCCCAAAAGTCAGCAATTTTATTAATACTACATTTGATTATTTTCATGTATGCAATTCCTGATCTTGGTTAAGGTACATGTATGTGAAAATTTTTATGATAGTTGAGACACAATGTCCAACAATAGTTGTATGAGGGCACCATTTCTTTTTGACAAGTGTCTTTGCGGATTCCTTTCCTTGTTGTGACAATATCTCACACACTTTCATTTTCTCAAACTTTATTCTTTTCTTCATTTGCATTTTTTTTTCTTTGCAAAACCTCTTTTCTATTTTATCTTTGCACCCTTTTTTCTACCAATGTTTTTATAGCTCTTATTTTTGTAGTCCTAACTCTCAGTACAAAAAATGTAGTCATACTACTATTATTATCTGGTGCTTTCACATATTCATTTGGTTGAATTTTTGTTTTTCATTAATTCTTGTAACCTACAAGAAAAAAATGGATCTATAAAAGTTTCATTTCACATTTTAAGACACCAACATAAAGAAAATCTTGAACGATTTCTCTCCTAGTCTATATATAACTTTGAGCTATATATAAAAAGACATCCACACTTGAAAAAGGTCGAATTTTAGAGACCTTACCTTCTATCTTTGTGGATTAGAGAGAACTCATGATACAATTATTGTAGAAATAAATATAGATTATATAAGTTAAATACGACGGGAAAAAACAAGAGTATAAGTTAAATATTGAAATTTTATAGTACTTTGACCAACATTGAGAAATCTGTCCCCAAAACGATATCTTATGAAACGATAAATAACAACCAACCAAACAAGATGTTCAGTGCATTTCTAGAAATTAATTAAAGTAGTGCATAAGCAATATCACGTGCCTTGCACTTTGCATTAAGTGGCTCAGCTTTTGCAAGAGTGAGACCACTCCCTTCAGCTATATCACTGTCTTTGCTAACTATTTCCCACTCAAAACACTGAACCAAAGTTCCAACAGTTAAAGCAATCACACGTTGAGCAAGTCCAGCACCTGGGCATGTCCTCCTTCCCATTCCAAATGGCAATAACTCCCACGGTTTCACATCGATACCTTCGAATCTCTCTGGTCTAAAACTTCCTGGATCGTCAGCCCATACTAACGGATCCCTATGAACAGCCCAAGCATTCACCAATAGGATTGTCCCACGTGGAACGTCGAAACCACCTATTTTGGTATCATCTGCTGATTGATGGGGAATTAACATCGGTGCTGCTGGAGATAATCGGAAAGTCTCCGAAATGATACTTTGAAGATATTTCAAATTGGGCAAATCAGTCTCATTCACTAGACGATCAAAACCAACATGACTGTCTATTTCAGTTCTTACTTTGTTCAACACTTGTGGATGGTTAAGTAAATGTGTCATTGCCCATTCAATAGTCACAGCTGTTGTGTCTGTTCCCCCAATCACTATGACCTGCGTAACATATCGAGAAAGTATCATAAAATATTATATCTACAACTTTTTAATGATATATTTGTATAAATGGTGTATGTATTTTTAATCAAAAAAATCAAATCAAACAAACAATGTATATATATATATATATATGACTATATTATTTGATTCTTTGATTAGCTTGGTGTTTTGGATTTTTCTTAGTAGTACCCTAGCCAAGTACTAGGTATATTTGTTGATGTTTGTGCTCCAGTGTAATAAATAAGGGAAAATTGGAAAAATATATCCTTAAATTTTTTGTTTTAGAGTAAATATACTTGTTTTGAAAAAAAAAGGTGAATATACCCCTGTAGTTTAATATGTGGGGTATATTTATCTTTTTCATAAACATGTCTATAATCATTAAATTAAGAAAAACCTTAAAACAAGTTTTATAATTCCAAAAAATGTCACTTAATTTAAAAAAATTAACTCACCCATTTTTTAATTACCCCAACCGGATCCGGCCAGGACCAGACCCAACCCAAATGAAAAAACCCAATCCCTCTTCCACTCAGTCATAACATGAGTTTGGGTCGATCCAAATAAAAGAGGGATTGATTTTTTGTAGATCAGTTTTGTGTTTATCTTTTTTTTTTTTTTTTTTTTTTAATAAATTCAGCTTGGTAGCAAAAATCAGTATCTATGCATCATTTATTATACGATGAGAGTATATATATTATATGCACCACTTGAGCGATATAAATGGCCCCTTTTTCCCGACAAATAATAATTAAAGGGTACACATATATGTACGTAGTATATATGGCGATGCATGAGTATTGAAAGCTTACCAATATAATTCCTTTAATGATATCGTCAGTATAGTAATCTGGTTGCGATTCTTGCAAAGAAAGCAAATTATCAATCATAGTATTTTGGTTCTCCACACCACGGTATTCATCAATTAAATCTTGCAAGAACTCATCCAATTTTTTGCCAAGCTGCGTCAGTGCATTCTTTTTAATAAACTTATAAATCCAACCAAATGGTACAGGCAAAAAATCATCAACATTTGATGCACCCCCATTGCTAAAAAACTCATCTATAAGCTCACGAAAATACACCGCCTTACCTTTATCTTGATCGAAAAATCCGTCTCCAGATACCATTCTCATAATAACATTAAATGATAATTCAGTAAATTTTGACTTAAGTTCAAAAATTGTACCAAAATCGTTACAATTTTGAAACAACTTATGCAAAAGAAGCTTGACTTCAAATTGTCTAATGGTTTGTGACTTTTTGAGACTAGTAACGGAGAGGATTTCAAGTGCACAAATACGTCTTAGGTTACGCCAATGATCACCATAACACGAATCGATGATTGTTGTGCAGTTGTATCCTCCGATCATTAAAGGAGGACGATCAGCAAGAACAACATCATTCTTGGTGAAACATTCCTTCACTGAGGATGGAGATGACACAACCACGACGAGACGTTTGCCTAATTGAAGAGAGAAAATTGGACCATGTTTTTCAGAAAGATTTTCAAGGGTACGATGTATATGTTCTTTCAAAATATAGAGATGTCCTATTATTGGAAACTTAAGTGCTGGACTTGGTGGGAGATTATGTTTGTTTAGTGTCAATGACACAAGTTTGAAGACTAGGAACAATAGGGAAATAGTGAGAGGCCAAACTATTTCCATATTCTCTCAAGGGGGACTTAATTATCCTCTCTAGTTAATTAGTGTTGTAACTAGGGGTTTATATAGGAGGTGAAATCATGTTTATTCTAATTCTTTGTTATTTTGATTCTCTCTATTTTGTTTCTTCCTAACATCTAATTAAATAAATCTTGAATAAGGCATGAGGAAAGTGAGGAAACATTAATAGTGATTTAGCTGCCATAAATTTTTAAATGTAATTATTGAATATGTGTTTGACTGTAAAATTTGTTCAAAATAATATCTCAAATGTTCACTTAATTATGAGTAAATTTTCTTAAAAGCCAGTCAACTTTATTTTGTAACTGAAAAATCATTCAATAATGGTATTTCACCTACAAATTCACTTAACTTATTTTATTAATTTTTTAAATTAAATTTTGTTCACATGAAGTTCTTATTTAAAATCAAGTTTTTAAGAAATAAAAGGATATCCACTTCAATCATTTCAATGATCCGACCCATTAAAATAGTTTAAAACTATCTTATTAGACACATATTCATATCATATATACTAACATGGAAAAATCACATCATATACATATTTAAGAGACAATTACTAACATTACCTATAATTTCAAATAATTACATATATTCTCACTAATTAAGAATTTTATACCATATTGTAAGTTAGATACATTGTGACACACCATTTCCTAAAAACTAGCCTAGATTAAGACAATTGAATATCTCAACAGATTATGTATCCACAATTAACGTCTTCATCCTAATCAACTCACTGTCTCTCGTCAACCTAGCTCCCATCCCACATTCATCACCTACATTCCCTCTCTTCTGTCCTTCGCCCTAGCTCACACGTTTTTTTCCATTAAATCATAAAATTTTGAATAAAAAGTAGTAATACAATTTGAGGTTTGTAACTATCATTTATGTCATGTATATGATTTTTCTATAGCTTTCAATTTATATGTAGTCTTCTAATTTTTGATAGTTATACCAAATTATGATAAAAACTTTATTGATTTAGCGTTTTTTAAATATATTTCATGGCTAATGATTTTTCAAACAAGAAAATTGTTAATATATGTACAACATACTTCCATTGATTTATCAAAAATAGACTTCATTTATTTTGAATTTCACTCGAGAACAATTTATTGCAAGGTCTTTCTAATGATGATGGTTTGATTCTCGTATCGTTAATGAGTTTGGAATTGAAAAGTAGAAAGAGGAGGATGCTAGCTTATGATGTTTTGCATAATGACAAACTCTCCTATGTCGCAGGGAAATCAGGATCTGTATATCTGTTCTAGATACATGAGATCTGAAAGATTGACTCATCAATTATCAAAACAACAGTCGTCACATAAGGAAAAGATTGATTCACTCAAATCAATCTAGTTGAAGCCAAAAAAGAAAAGTGGATTTCACTTATGCAGATATCAAGTAAATCAAGGCAAATTTCACATATGCAGATATCAAATAAATCAGACCAGTGAATCAAGCGATTCAAGAAATAAAGATCCCCTATGCAAGAAATCAAATCTCGATTCATAAGGAAAATCAACCATCAACCTACAGTAGAAACCTACAAGTAAAAATATGTTCAAGGCAGATTGGACATCGCTGAATTTCAGTCAAAGAAGGCGTGAACTCAATCAAGAAAACGTTATAAATTCTTGATTGAAGGAAACTCCATTGGATTTCATGTTAGAGCTAAAACGATCATATAATATCGTGTATAAAGACAAACCTACTTCTGTAGTTAGACGTACACAACTTCACTTGAACTTATATTGTTATCTTTTTCCATCTTTCATAAAATTTTGTACTCACTTGAGTGAACAATTGAAAAGGAAAAAAGAAGGAAAGATTCTGAGTGTAGGTTATACAAGTAGAAGTCGTGTAAAAAAAGAAACTCTGATTTGCTTATCACACATGTCTTTAGGTTCAACTTTGTACAACTTAAGTTCCCTTTCAACCTCTAAAGGAAACCTTTGAAACCCAAAGGGACTGGACTAGGTACCATACCGGTGATCTGAACAAGTATAAAATTTTTGTGTGTTTATTTAATTTCTATATTTTACTTATTTATATTCTGTGAATCTAATCTGCAGGAAGCGCCGACTACTCACAAAGGTCAGTCGACTACTATAATTTTAATTCTCCCCTTTCTTAACTTTCAATTGGCATCAGAGCAAGTCTCACCAATAGAGTATTAACCACACGTGAGTAAAGATCTATGAAAAATTATCAAATTCCTAGTGCTCTTATTCAAGACAGAAATTCTTCAAACCGATCTTCTTACTTTAATGGTCAACACTAGTACTACTGGAAAGACAAAACCAATATTTTCTTACTTCAAACGACCTCCAAGCATGGGTAGCTATCAAAAAGGGACCAAAGCTCATTCCCGAACTCACTGGGAAGGAAGTTGCTGACAAACCTTTTGATCCATAATCTTTTGACATCACAAAGGAATAATAATAGGTAATCCAAACTAATGCTAGAGCTATAAGTCTGTTATACTGTACAGTTAATGAAGCAAGCTACGACAAAATCTTAACATATGAAACTAGAAAAAAATAAGTGAGACAAGCTTGAAGTCACCTCTGAAGAAACCAATAAAGTAAAAGAAACTCCAATCAGTTCATTAGCAAATGAATATGAATTGTTCAAAATGGCAGACGAGGATGATGTAGAGAGTATGTTCTCACGATTTAGCAAAATTATTTGCGATATCAAATCTCTAAGAATGATATACTTAAATGAATTACAAATTAGAAAGCTCATCGAAAGTCTTTCAGAAGCCTAGAAAACCAAAGCTTCTATTCTTGAGGATGGAGATCTGCAAAAGATGACCTATGATGAACTTCGAAAAAATCTTATGGCCTATGAACGAAATTGTATCAATAGTTACAACAAAAATGACAAAAAGAAAACTGTAACTTTTACCGGTGGAACTTTTGAAATTGAGGAAGAGGTTGATTAATGTGAGGGAATGACTTATATAAAATAGAGAGTTAGACAAATACTGCAACAAAGAAGACATAGGCCCCAACAAGACTATAAGAATAATGACTACCATAAAAATCATAGGAAGAATGGGATCCAAAGAGTCTTGAAGCGTTGAGCGATGAAGAAGCATTGGAAGAAGATCCTGCCCAAACAACAAATATCTGCTTTATGGTAATGGGAGAATCAAGCGAGGTAAGACAACATGATTGTCCTAATTGTAATTATTTTCAAAATTCTTTGGATATGATTACCGATGAATTGCAAAAGTTTATTAATGAATATAGTAAGATTTGTGCTTGCGTTCAACACTCGTGCATTTGGGTATACACCCCAAACAATGTATCCTGAATCGATTGAACTGGATCGGTGTATGTTTCGCCTTCAAATCATTAATTATGTTATGATTTGCATACATGTGCGGGAGTTCGATCGGGCGATCTAACACATAAAATTCGATTCCCTACATACAGGAATTACAATAGTATGAAACTACACTTACATTAACTTGCATTACATTAACTACTACTTTAAAACTACTCAACATTTTAAGAAGTTGGTACTAGTCAAATACAAATCTAAAACATAAAGTCTAATTCCTTGCATACATAAAATGCAATGAAACTACATTTATATTAAATACTACTTAGATTAGCAATTAAAACGCACAAAGAAGAGGTAAGCTCTCTTGGTCTTGTCTGCCGTGACCAAGGCTACCATAATATATGTATATATATAGGTGTGCTGATGATGTACATAATAGAGTTTGAATACAAAAAGGAAAGAGCTATCCTAATTAATAAAGGACTTTGAGTTTACATAAGAGACTTATTAATATCTATAGAGGAATCCTATATTCAAGCAAATAAGGAATCATTGTCATCTAACACCCCCCGGCAAGCGCATGTCGGGTTTGGAGACAGTGAGCTTGGATCGTAGATGAGCAAAACGAAAGGAGCTTAGAGCTTTAGTGAACACATCAACAGTTTGATCAGTGGAAGGAATGTACTTAACACAAAGCTGGCCACAAGAAACCTTTTCGCGAACAAAGTGATAGTCAATTTCAATATGCTTCGACCTTTGATGAAAGACAGGATTGGCAGTGAGATAAATGGCACTGATGTTATCATAGAATATCACGAGAGGGCGAGGACAAGGCAACCAGAGTTCCTTAATCAAACTAGCTATCTAAGATACTTCTGATGCGGCAAATGCAATGGCACGATATTCAGCTTCAGTGCTGGACCGAGCTACTACATTTTGCTTCCGTGAGGACTAACTGATTAGATTAGGACCATAATATACAACAAAGCCATGATGAGAACGACGGTCATCAAGATCAGCAGCCCACTCTGCATCACAGTAAACATTTATAGTAGATGAAGTGGATGGTGTGATGGATATACCATGCGTAAGGGAGCCTTTGAGATAGCGAAGGATCCGTTTCACGGCTTTCTAATGATCCAATGTAGGATTCTGCATGTATTGACAAACACGACTAATCGAGAAGGAGATCTTTGTTCGTGTAAAGGTCGCATATTGAAGAGCCCCAACAATGCTCCTAAATAATGATGGATCATCAAAGGTTTCACCATGTTTGGACAATTAGAATGTGGTGTCCGCTGGAGAAGGAGAAGACTTGCAATCTGTAATTTTTGTTCGAGTGAGTAAATCTCGAATGTAGCTAGTTTGAGAGAGATGCATCCCAGATCCAACACGAGTTACTTCAATACCCAAGAAAAATGAGAGATTACCAAGGTCTTTCAAAGAGAACTGAAGATCAAGGGATTGGGTGAATGAGGATATATAAGATGGATCACTATCCGTTATGATGATGTCGTCCACATAAACCAAGAGGTAGGTAGTGGAGGAGGGAGTATGACAGACAAACAAGGATGAGTCAGAGTAACAACAAATATAACCATGCGATAGGAGAAATGTTTTGAGCTTGAGAAACCAGGCGCGGGGAGCTTGTTTTAGTCTATATAACGCCTTCGACAAGCGAC